TTTAGCAGATAACACAAACTTTGGCGTTGATAATCATCGCTATCATGCTCAACCTCGTCCAATAATTGTTTAATGTTTGTTTTCCCTTCCAGCTCCATTTGGTGTTTAAGGATTCTAAAGGCGACTATGCGGTTGTAGCCTTGTGGCTTAAGGTAAATAGTGATAGGAGTCTGTTACCAATTTTTATCTTTTTTGAGTTGTATTTTTATTGACCTATCTCAAACTGTCATGGACAATATCTTGAATGCCCCATTTTCTATTATTTTGGATTTGGTTTGAAGAAAATTGACATAGGCTGAAAATTGAGAGAGAAAACAATATTAATTTTCCAACTCACACGTTTGAAATCTCAATTGGAAGACTCTTGAGTGAAGCCACGACAAATATACTCGCAGAATTGCAAGGATATTTTATACTTAGTTAAAAGCATATTTTACATGATGTCCTTATGAACCAAGCAATTCAACAGATTTATCAAGGTAGCTCCACATTTTATTTTCAATGTATAGCTTTATTGAAGACACAAATTGACGTGGCTGTAATTGATGGAGATATATATTATATATATGGCTGTAATTGATGGAGATATATAATATACTATTTGCCTTAAGACTCTTACATTGCATTACATTGTTCGTTTGTTGTTGTTGTTGTTGATATCTTCAGGCCTCTGATAATGGAAACAAGATTTTGGAAAGGGTTTCTAAGAGACTAAGTCACATAATTTATCCTGGCAAGTAGCTTTTGTATTGAGGTATACTTAGTCTGATTGATCATAAAATCAAGAACTCTTTATTCAGTGTACGATTAACCTGCATGCCAAGTACTCATTAATCAAGGACCGGTCATTACTTACCGTCTGAAGGGGAGGGGGGGAGGTTCGATTTATCGGAGGGTTAAAAAATTAACCTGATATCCCCACTCCCGCCCCCAAAAAGGCTCTGTAAAAATTTTCATGATCCTTCCTAATTGGAAGTAAATATTCTATAGTCCCACCTTTATACTTTCATAGTGAGGACTGATCCCCCCTGAAAATCATGCGATCTTACAAAAATTCTCACCCACCCCCCTTCCACTAGGCGCTAAACAATGACTACTGCCTTAGTGTGGGGACATTAAACTTCCGGATTACTTCGAAATGGGTGACTGCACACAATATCCTGCGCTGTTGATTTTTTCCTGTCTTTTATGTTAGATCTCATTTTTTTACTTTGAGGATTCTGCATTAAATTTGTTACTTTCCACGTAAAACCAAAGTGAATGTAGATAACGACCAACGTATTCCACGTTATCGCTTCTAGGCGTCTTTATCTACAAAGAGGCAGTGCGCGCTTGATCAAACTGAATAACCTAATTTTACTTCATAGGGAACACTACTGAAATGAAGAAGTCTCACAAAATCGACCTGATCGATCTCATACCCCATAAGAAATGCATACATCATGGTACAGATAACGGAGGCGGAGGGGAGAGTGGAGGTGCGAAGGATAATGGAGGCGGAGGGGACAATGGAAGCGGAGGGGACAATGGAGGCGGAGGGGAAATTGGAGGCGAAGGGGAGAGTGGAGGCGGAGGGGACAATGGAGGCGGAGGGGAGAGTGGATGCGGAGGGGACAATGGAGGCTGGGGGGACAATGGAAGTGGAGGGGACAATGGAGGCACAAGAGACAGTGGGAATGGGAACAATGGAAAGCATGGAAGAATTGAAAAAAAAGTGGGGAATAGCGATAATGGCCACAACAGCGAAAAAGGAGATCACGGCAGTTTATCGAAAAAGATCATAATTCTGGCAGACTATTATCACTACCAAGGCTCCCTGACCACCCCTCCCTGCTGTGAAAATGTCATGTGGTTTGTTATGAAAGAAAAAGTTCCCATCTCTGACAGCCAGGTACTTTAGAAAAGATATATTTGTCGCAGTTATGCGCACTCTTACCGAGCGTATTCTATTATGATTGATTAATTCTCTGGTTCTCGCCTCTTAGTGGACTCGATCTTTATAAGAACTGATGTTTGTAATAGTTTAAACTACATTTTTGAAGACAAAAAGCCAAATTCTTACAATAAAATCTTAACTTACACTCCATGCTAATTGCTCCATCGACTGAGTATGAACCGTACACACTCAAAGCTGGTACTCGGACCGTTTTACCTTCCTTTAGTCCTCCATTTTATGATTCTTGTTCCTCGTTCCTTGCTCCCGGTGCCCCTTTCCTAGTTTACCTTTCTCGTTTTTAAGTTTGTGAACATCCATACATTACTTATACTTGTCCTCAGGCAAGTTATACGGGTATTGCATCAACTGGCAAAGATTGACACGGCTAGTCTTTTATGGAAGAAAGTTATGCAGATTCATGCGGAGCAAAGAAATTTATTTCTTTAACAGACTCGAATCAGCTCCTCTAGCTTCTGAAAGTTTATTGACGATCCGGCATCAGAAGGTCATTGTCATTTATAATGACGGGGTCTAACATTGTTATACATGATTTTGAGAATAAGAGTCTTAGGTGCGACTGACTAAAACGAAATTAAAGCTACCCTCGAATATCGATTTATTCATGTCAGCTGTAAAACAAGATTATGGAGCTTTGAATTTTGACAGGGATCTGCAACAAATGATCTCTGATCCTAGCTAACTGGTCGATGGACCACGTATGCTTCGAGGCAGATCAGCATTTTTTTCTTGAATTCATCGAGAAATCTATCTACTTTTTATCCGAAACACTGCCTACCCAAGGAAAAAAAATATACTCCTTACAGGTAGAGTGTGAGGTTTTTTTAGAGAGAGATTTTATGAAATGTGTTTGTTTGGTTTCATTTCTAGCTCGGATTGTTCGGGAAATTGAAGACTGGTGAACCGGGCTCGAATGATTATAAAGATATGTGTGACAACTACAGACCATTGCAAGATCTGAACGACCGCACGGTTTGGTCTATTAGTGACTAAAACAGTTACTTTTTACACTCGTCTCGGAACTTTCTTAATCATTGCGATGATTGAAGAAAATGATACTGTTATGAGCAGCTAATTAAGGCAAAGCTAACGAGAATCCTTGTTATATTGTAAGGTGTAAACAGAATATGAAAGATGGTACAGTGGAACCTCGATTGAACGAACCTCTATATAACGAAGTCCTCGGTATAACTTCAGTTTCGGCCCGGCTAAAGTTTCAGTAAAATGTATGCCACGAAACCTCGATATAACGAACCCTCGATATAACGAACCAATTTTCCCAGTCTCTTGACACTTCGTTAAATCGAAGTTCCACTGTAATAGGAGTTTGTCGCAAAACTTTCTTGTGATCACGACTAGCATCATATCTTTATGATACAATACAAACTTATTACTTTGGCTGAATATCTACATTTAGCCGGTTAAAGTCAGTGTGTTTTTCAGTGTAATATTTATACTGAATGAAATCGTGTAAAAACTCATCATTGTCAAAATTTAGTCTTCTACATCATTTCATAGATCATAAGAAGTACAGAAAGAAAGAAAACAGACAAAAAAACAAAGGACTCGCGGCAAAAGGACTTGCATCATAACTAGAACATTCTTATCTTTTCTAATTAGCGTTTCTTTTTTTTTTATCTCGAACAGAATGCATATATCTTATTAAACGTTTTGTTGTGTAGTATCGCTGAGTATTTTTACGAGTTGTGCCGTATTTTGACGAACCCAAGGGCGAGTCAAAACAAAAATAACCCTTGTAGAGTATTTTAAAGAATTGCTATTTGAGTATTTTTAGGTTTACCTTTTGTTTGTTAAGTCTCGCCTTTTTACCTCTACGTGTTATTTTGGTAGATCTATATATAGTTTTGATCTTTTATTTTTAGTGTGTGCTTGAACTTGGTTAGGTTCGTGGATTTCCTTCTTACCGTGCTAGACATTTTAATCACTTGTTGTGTTTGGGAATAATTAGTTTCATAGGTGGTCATGTTTGGGTTGGTAAAACTGACCTTGAGTTTTACCCACACTGAAGATCCTGTTTGTGCGCAGGCCTGGTTTGTGCGCATGATTCTCGTGCGCAGCTCGTTCATTGGCGTCTAATTGGTTCCTTGGTGCTCGCCAAGTGCTTCGGAGCGAGCCACCCAATTTCCCCCTTTGCAAAACAACGAATACACTATGGAAACTCCCACCGTCAGCTAACCCAAACATGTCTGTTATTTTTTTGCATTTAATTCGTGGGCACTCCTTCCTAAAAGTAGAAGAAAAATAGCAGAAGAAAAGTATCATGAGCAGTAGAGATAGAAGAGACCCGAAACGTTGTAGTAGGAAAGAATAAAAAGAGAGGAGAGTCCAGAGTCTCAGTACTTCTCGTTAAAAGCCAAGCGAGTGGTAAAGACCCCCAACACCTGTATAACCGGTTTTCTGGAGTACAAATACCGCGTGATATTTGCACTCGTCTTGGGCGTTATTTGTACTCTACGGAGTGTAACTAGATAATAAATTTATCCTATTGGACGTTTTGTTGTTTTGTATCGCTGAGTATTTTTGTGAGTGGTGCCGTATTTTAACGAAATAAAAATACTCAGCGATACTACACAACAAAACGTCTAATAAGAGATTTATTATTTAACACGCCAAACTGTTATTTTAGTGCGGGCGAATCTCGCGGATATTTTTGGAGTACAAATATCGCTGGTTTGTACTCGTCTCGCGCGTTATTTGAACTCTATGAAGCACAGTTAGATGATAAATTGGTTTATCAGTTCGCGAATCAAATATATGGCTTTTGACAACCGCTAGCCACGATAGTTTTAGAATAGCGGGTAAAAGAGAAAACATTTCCATCGAAATGATACACCAGGGTGGTTTATCTACATTTCAAAACCTGGGAAAATTTGTTCAACGGGTGAATTGGGTTCTTTGTAACTTGATGAACTCACGCGGAAAGTTGGGAGAACACGAGAAATGTTTGAGAATCAAGGTTTTGACTAGCTGTTCGATTGCTCTTTCAACATAACCAGGTGGTTCATCACGTTTTAAAACCCGAGGAAACGTGTTCTATTGTTTAACTGTGAATAGGGTTTGGTAGAGAGAACAATACACTTGTTACGATCAAGTCGCCGGTTCGATTCCCATAGGACCTAACAAAATTGGCAGACACCATTCAGAGCGTCTGTAAAAAATTGAATTAATGAGGATAACATCAGCTGAATAGTGACTAAAATGATAGCGAGGATACGAGCCGAACACATTAAGAAAACGGAAGAGAAATGGTGAGATGAAAAATTAAGGCCAATACTGTAACTTGTTCCAGAAGAGCACTTCAATTTGGACTTTGAAACGCGAACTTTGTGGTTACAGTCTGGTTGTGTACCTTTGCAAATTATAACGAGCCACGTGGCGAAGCGAAATTTAAGTTTGCAAGCCTGGAGCACCGGGGACACCGAGACGTTTTCGTAAGAATAAAGGTTAGTTACAGAAATTAAACACGTTAAAACATAATTCGTAATTTTAAAAAGCCTGAATTCATCGTGACAAATGAAAAGCTGTGAAGTGCATCGAACTCGATAGGTTTAACCGCCGTGAGGCTGTTTTGCGCGAGATACGATATTTTCCTCGGTTAAATTTGTTTTACATTGGTTCTGCTATAACTACGGCTTTTGCTGAAGCCTTTTTTAAATAAACGACCATTGCTTAAAACGGTTAAATCATGGCAAAAAGTTTTTTTAATTCAAACTTAACTCGCGGACGGAAAAAACTCAGAAGTCTATACACCAAATGCAAATATGGCGTCCAATTTGAATTACCATTGTTCCTGTTCCTTGTTGCCTGTCTTTACGTGAAAACACCAAAGGATTATTACATGTGTGAGAGGCTAGTCAGTCCAGAACAATGCCCAATCGGAAAAGGGCAATCAGCATGACGGTTCTGGCTGGCACATGAGAATCTTGCTACACATCCCAGGCGCTCAAACACTGTGGATTTTGATTTTCTTCGAGGGCTAACTCCGGTCCGTTTGGATGGATTTTCGATTGGAAGGTACGAGGAGAATCGTGCATCTTTTGACCTTAATACTGCGAAGTTTGAAAGCGGAGCGATGCGATTTTCAGGGGGAAAATCGCTCGGGCGCTTGAACCCTTTCAAAACAAGGCTTCCACCCTTGTCTTTCTTTTATGCATTACATTAACGACGAGCCCAGACTTACTCAAAATCTCTCAAAAAAAACATTGAGGCAAAAAGACGACTATACACCACAGGCAAAGTAATTCAACGTTCATTTATCAATGATTATGTACATAGTCAGCAATATATCACTATAGGTGAGGCAAACGGTAAATCTGGTACATTCACTATAAAACAACCGCTTACACAAACAGATTGTATGGGCCCCCTGTGGTTTTTGTTTCTTTGCAGTTAGGGACTCTATTTTGTATTTTCAAATCTCAATTTGGAAAGATTTCCATGTTAATCCACAAATGTAGCACAAAGCCGTGGACCCAAAGTCTCGCCATTGTTTTCTTAATCTAAGAACTAGACATGTATGAATTACTAATGAAGTATGTGGGGTTGGTTCTGTGCAGAAATCATTCCATCAATTTATGTCACTTGCAGAGAACTTGATATCCTGATCAAACACACATAACCAGATTGACTCATCATTCTTTTGAGTATGATAAACCAACATGTTAAAAAGATTTTTTATTCTCTGCTATCCTTGCGTCATGGCAACATGCAGGAGTTCGTTAAGGGCCTGGGCACTGGGCAAATTGACTGGTTGTGAGGACGGTTTTACCCACCTGGTTTGACAATCTGGTTGGTAGTTTATCTCATAAAGAAGTACAGTTCAAAAAGTTTTGCCCACCTGTGAAAACCAGTAGCTCTCCTGAATATGCGCAAGGATTTTAAACCTTTAAAATTCTTTGGCATTTTCTGTGCTTCCTCTTTCTAGCAAAGACATGCCGAGAAATCGACGACAATCAGCGGTTGACTTCGTGGGCGCTGCATATGCTAATGAGGGACTTTCAATTCTCAATTCCCACTCCAAAAATGCTTGTAATTGGGGTCTGTCAGACATTTTTCGATTGAAATTAGCGTTTTTACAAATATAGGATTACTATGTTTTGGAAGTCAAAGGTCTTTCAAGATTTTATTGAGCAACAGGAAATGTAATTAACTAGAATTATGCAAACATGCATAATTAATAAGATCGGAATCAAAATTAGCACACTCATGCGATGAACAGCTTCAGAACAGCGGAAATCCGCTAAAAAATTAGGTTACAAAGCCCTCCAAAGATGGCGACTGTTTTTCTCATGAGTATCGAGACTTCACCAAATTCGACTAATTTTTTTGCTTGTACAAGCGCTCGTTTCCCCAAAGAGGTCGATTCTTGGAAAAACATGAAATACGGGATTTTTTCAGCTATTTCTGCCGAACTTAAACGGCTCTCTGTGGCTTGAAATGTGTCTCAAATGAATAATCGATCTTTGCAGAAGACGTTCAGCCGTGGAGTAAACACTACCTTACATCGGCGAGGTAAGACATGGATAATGGTAAACACAGGCGGAATTAAAGGAACAGAGAGGCCATAAGTGGTCAAAAAAATGACCGTCCGGGGCCGAACTTTGGTACATCGGGGGATCGTAGGAATTCTTGTGAGTGTTGCTTATGTTGTTTTTTAATGGTTTAGACGTGGAAATTTTGACTATCTACTTTATCTCCAAACATATAGCTGGATTTTATTCATTTCTCACATAAAGCTTTGTACGGCAACCATTTTTAAAGTTCGCAAATCTATCAAACTGCGCATACTCCGCCGCCATTTCGTATTCGATTTCTCGGCATGATGTGAAGGATGAAATTCCTGTTGGAAAAATTTTCTTCCTATGATGTTTTTAGAAAATCATGTCACCTTAATAATTACCCTTCATGAGGTAATGAATCAAAATTTTACACCTTTTTCTTTTTATTTTTTTTCTGATCATTTACCATTTTTA